CTGTCATCATATATTTGTGCGTTTTCCCAAAAAATTGTTGAGAACCCGTTAACGCACGTGCCTCTCCCTTTTCGCGCTGTTCCTTTAGTTGCCAATGCGCCCTCGTAACAAACTGGGAAAACGCACAAATAAATGATGACAGTTTCTTAAACAACTTTTTTATTTTTGTGACTCAAATTATGCAATTGTTTTCTAGAGTTGGTCTGTTGTGTTTATTGCAGTCCGCGTTAGTTTGATTGTTTTATGTCTATTTGTTTTTGTGTTAGATTGCAATTCATCGGTGTCATTTTGTCTCAAACGGACTGTAGTTGCGATTGGACTACACTAAACAAAACATGATATAGTTTTCAGTATCAAGTGAAAGCAAATAGTGGCTCATAGACCAGATAACGATTGACTATATTCATTGATACATTGTTCATCACAGGTATAGGTATGTGGTCCATGATAGCTATCGGCATGTGGTCCATGATAGCTATCGGTATGTGGTCCATGATAACTATCGATATGTGGTCCATTATATTAATCGTTATATGGTCCATGGCATCCAGCAGTATATGGTCCATGATAGCTATCTGTATATGGTCCCTTGCGCCCATCAGTATATGGTCCATGGTAGCTATCTGTATATGGTCCTTGACACACATCTGTATACTCATCAGTATATTGTCCATGATAGCTATCTGTATATGGTCCTTGACACCCATCAGTATATTGTCCATGATAGCTATCTGTATATGGTCCTTGACACCCATCAGTATATTGTCCATGATAGCTATCTGTATATGGTCCTTTACCCATCAGTATATTGTCCATGATAGCTATCTGTATATGGTCCTTGACACCCATCAGTATATTGTCCATGATAGCTATCTGTATATGGTCCTTGACACCCATCAGTATATTGTCCATGATAGCTATCTGTATATGGTCCTTGACACCCATCAGTATATTGTCCATGATAGCTATCTGTATATGGTCCCTTGCGCCCATCAGTATATGGTCCATGTAGCTAGCTATCTGTATATATGGTCCATGGTGCTACTTGACCCCCATCATCCAGTATATTGTCCATCAGTATATTGTCCATGATAGCTATCTGTATATGGTCCTTGACACCCATCAGTATATTGTCCATGATAGCTATCTGTATATGGTCCTTGACACCCATCAGTATATTGTCCATGATAGCTATCTGTATATGGTCCTTGACACCCATCAGTATATTGTCCATGATAGCTATCAGTATATATTGTCCATGATAGCTATCTGTATATGGTCCTTGACACCCATCAGTATATTGTCCATGATAGCTATCTGTATATGATCCTTGACACCCATCAGTATATGATCCATGATAGCTATCTGTTATATGGTCTATGACAACCATCGACATATGGTCCATGATTGCTTTCGGTATGTGCTCTTATATGTATGTACTATTAGTAATGCTATTTTTTACGTTCATCGATACAAAGGACAGTGCATGCTGCACAGATGTTAACTGTCATTAATTTGAATTATCGTATTGTCATCAGACCTTTGGCAGTTGGTTGATAATCAATTGATCGACAAGTCTCTGAACCCCTACTGTGTCCACCTAGAATAGTCAAAGCACAACGCGAGCCATATGTCAGAACTTAACGCACCAAAACACTAGACTAACGTACTTATTTGTCCATTTGAAGGTCTCCATAATGGCAGATGTGGCAATTGTCCGCTGAAATATTTTGCTTGTCTTTTGTGGCTGAAAGGTAATTAACCTACTGATGGCCGAATTACGCAGTTGAAAAGAACATAATAGCCATTAAACGAATTAGTTATTGCCCACCGCCTCTCACACTACCCCGGGTACCTGGGTCGCCGTGGTCTGACATCACTGCATGCGAACAGCATGAATGATAGCCTTGGTTTCGCGTGGGACATGCGTGCACACCGAAGCTTCAAATACGTAGGTCAAATGACTGGGTTGAGTTAAGTTATGTTCAGTTCACCCATTCCTTCTCGTGTATCAGTACTGACTCAATGCAAGGCGAGTGTAAATGATCTAAATAAACATGAATGTGCTTATAATGTTTACTAGACATCGAACTAACGTGACCCTGCGCCCATGAATAATGTATTGCGTGTATTCCAGCACCTCGGCGAAAATTAGGAAATAATACATTTTTCGTGTGAACTACCACCACTACTACCACAGTTGCTGAGGCTGCTGCTACTACGACTACGAATACTGCTGCTGTTCCTGATGGTTTTACTATTGCTTCTTCTTCTTCTTCTTCTACTACTACTACTACTACTACTACTACTACTACTACTACTACTACTACTACTACTACTACTACTACTACTACTACTACTACTACTACTACTCCTGCTGCTGTCACAGCTACTACGTCAACTATTACTACTACCATTACTGCCACTATTGCTGCGACTACTACCACTATGACTACTACTGCTATTTCTACCACCTACAGTACTTCTCCATCTATTTATTCTAAGTATGTCTAGCTGTCTCACTTACAGCGTATTTGTAACGTCCTTTTACGTTTTTGTAGACACGTCAAACTTAGGCTGTATTTCTGATTCTTAAAATGACACAAACCCTCAGTAATTATATCATTTATTAACGCCTTCTCTTCTGTCGCCGTGATTAACAGTTAACGGATTTAATGTATATGATAGAGCAAAGACAAGCCTACATGGTGTCTCTAAACAAACTAAACAAAACATAAAATAACTGAGAATATTTTTCAGTGTTGAAACAAATTCAGCCCTTACCTTCACATGCATGAAAGTTAATAGTTACGTGAAGGTGAGCTAAGGAATACTTCATTTACACTTGTAACGTCACCCACAAGTGACGTAAAGGAATATTGGATTGACACATGTAACTTCACGGGAAAGTGACGTTAAGGAATATTGGATTGACACTTGTAACTTCACCGACAAGTGACGTGAAGGAATACTGGATTGACAGATGTAACTTTAACGACAAGTGACGTTAAGGAATACTGGATTGACACATGTAATGTCACCGGAAAGTGACGTTAAGGAATGTTGGATTGACACTTGTAACTTCACCGAAAAGTGACTTTAACAGATACGTTTGTGTTGATGCTACAGCGACCTAAATAATTTATCTTACCTGCCACATCTAACTGTGATATAATAGTAATAGAACTCAAAGTGGGGTTAAATCCGACTAATTCACTCACGGGCAATCCAACTACAACTTGGTTGACACATGTCATCGTATCCCAGTTGCGATGATCGATGTTCATGCTGTTGATCACTGGATTATCTGGTCAAGGCTCGATTATTTACAGACCGCCACCATTTAGTTTGAGTTTGAGTTGGGCTTTACGTCACATCGGCATTATTCCAGCCATATAGTGACGAGAACAAGTCTGCATTCATAAACATTTGAGTACAAAGTCCAAATGAGTTTTATTTTAAAAACATATATATTCTCTACATTATTCTCTAAAAACAGAAAATGTCATAGCACCAAATTCAAAAGCAAGCAATTAGTTATTCATATTACATAGTTACAATTTATGATACAGGTCAACTTCCCTCAGGTAGTTAAACAAGAAGATGCCCGCTTACGCGGCCACCATTTAACTGTAATATAGCTGAATATAGCGTTATACAACAAACAAGATCATAAAAACAGGTTTGATGCTAAACATAGACTAGGTCGACAGTTCATCACAGATCCGTTACATTTCCATTTGCATCTAAGCCCCAGCATATTGTTTTCAGAGTACTGATACAAACATCATTGTGTTGAACCTGGACCTGTCTCGACTTAACAACTGGTCGCAGTGTATTCAATATCGTCATCATGTTGTGTCAAACCTAAAAAAACTCGAAGTATTTACCTAGGTCACTTCGACACAACGGTATTTGTATGTAACGATCGTCAATGTAATACATCTTTAACAAACACGGTCATATTGACATTAAATAATGTTGTTTTTGCTGTTCTGATATGTCTCTCATGGAGAGCATGATCTACCCAATATTTATCTGTCAGTGCGCATGCTGAATACAATGTCAGTAGAGGTAAGGTGTTTCGCAATCGTCTACCCTGTATACACCACCAACCGCAAACATGCGAGAGTGGCATGCATCGCTTCTGAACAAATGTAAGTGCACGCGACGCCCTTCCTTTCCACGTGACAGGTATAAAAAACACTCATGGCCACACCGCTTTATCATTTGTCAACTACAACTGCAGTTCCTTGAGGCGTGAGGTGTTGATCATGGAGATACTGACATTCGTGCATTTTAATGCAAAGGACTCGTCGTCTATACAAGAGCGGGCGTGTGGTTGTTGGTCCAAGTCTGTAGCATGATGAAATGATACAGCGATGGTGAAAGAAGGGGAGGCACAATGTATCACAGTGTTATCGGAGCGGGGACAAATTATAATATTGAACATCATTATTGAGGGAAACGTCATTTATCATTTATCATAAGTATGGGAATGAACATTATATAATACATTATATAAAACTAATGTCACTTGCAATGTCCCTCTACAATAAGTAACTGGTTACTAACAGCCTCCCGCGTGAATGATATTTTCCTGAATTCATGTGTTGTTTAATGTATTGCATGTTCTGAAATGATGTCGGTTGGGGTTGTGCTACATTTAAACGACTAAAGTCGACTTTAAGATATAAACATATATACAGAAATATATAAAATTAATCAACATCTATTATTTTTTTCTTTAAAAACTCTACCTAATAAAGTCGTATCGTCTAAAATAATTAAAAATTAATCTGGAACGAAAATAGCAATGCGTCCATCTGGAAAGGTATTTACATAAGCAAGGTTTGCTTGTCTACCGATCCAGACTGCTTTAGAAATAAATATGCTAAAAAATGAACTTTAAATATGAAATAATCCTTAACATTGATGCTGTAAACAAAATGATATGAATGTTAAGAAATTAAATTGATGCGAAATTCCAATGTACTTACAATATACAACCATCCCCATGACAATAAGGAAGAACTGATCCAGGTTGGTTTTTAAGTTGTTGAGATCGGCATCTGATTTTTCTAAACCTTTTTTTAAGCTGACAAAATCGTCCCATGTCACGTTTGTAGCCATGGCGACCTATCTCACAGAAACGATCCGCCTGTCTCCCTTGCTTCGCGAATAATGCGAGAATGTGCATAAAGTGTCATTTTATGTCAGTATAAAGTCATTGAATCTCCATATCAGCTGATTGGTTGGCGCTACCTTCGCGTCACCAGTTGTAACAGCGCATGTTTTCTGCGCAGCCTTCTTCACTCTCGTCACCGGCGAGATTTGAGATAAACCTCGATGTCTATAGCTGAAGCAGCACTGAATTCAACTATTTGAGAGGATTTACACAGACATGGTTTCATGCATGGAGTCGATTTGGTCCTGTTCTTTGTGTCACGGTGTTTTACTTGACTAATATATTGCTTATATCTGCTGTCATACCTGAGCATAATTTCATTTTTCGATTTGATTAACTATTTACATTATTTAACCTTTAGTTAGCATTGTAAAGTAACGAATGTGTTTGTCATCCATTTTGACTGCCTTGTACATCATGCTCCACTAAAGACCATAGAAAATATAAGTTTTAGTGACCCGGAAATAACCCACGTATGACATACATTATTTCACAGGTATAATAACTCGTTGAACTGTTGTTGTGTTTATCGAGTGTCTTCACGCACGGAGAACTATGAGCTATATGTTCACATAAATGACAGATGCCAAAGAAACCACTTAGGTTTTGAGCAATAAACTTCCCCTGTATATGGAGCTTAAATACAGAACATAAAAAGCTAAATGGAAGAGGGCGTTGAGAGACCCCACTCATTTTTTATCCCCAAAAGCTTTATGTCATCGTCTTAAATAGGATTATGACTTGATAAGAGTATTAGAGTCTGGACAACATTTGTTCACAATATAATGTCATTTAATTCGAATCCCTGTATATCTCGAAGAGGTTGAACTTTATAGAGTTCGTCACTACAGCTGGATGCTGGTACGATGTTGACGACTCATATGTTTTCAATGATTCAAATGCTTTCAGTGATTCACGAGGATTCATTGATCGTTTGCGTTCGCTTGAACTGAATGAGATCACACAAAAATTGATTTAGTGAATTATACAATGAACACCACGGTACTATTTATACTATAATTATAGAGATTCAAAATCTTCCAGATCAAGGTAATTAAGAAATGTGTGCTGATGCTGATGCTGATGATGATGCAACTGATGATGATGCTGGTGCTGATGGTGCAGCTGATGATGATGGTGGTGGAGTGGCGGGTGGCGATGATGATGATGATGATGGTGGTGGGGTGCAGCTGATGATGATGGTGGTGGAGTGGGTGGCGAGTTGATGATGATGATGGTGGTGGTGATGATGATGATGATGATGATGATGATGATGATGATGATGATGGTGATGATGATGGTGATGATGATGATAATGATGATGACTACGACAATAGGCAACAACAACGAACATAAATAAAAAAAATATTTACAACTTATTAACAACTGAGAAAACAAACTCGGTCAGTAGTAACGAAGTTTCGTTGTATCAAGCTTTGATGTGATGTATGATAACCTTGAACATCTGGTCGCTAATATCACATGTTCGATTTATGTGAATTATTGTCATGGTAACTGGGGTGACTTTATCGATATTCGCTAAAAACTCGCGAAGATTCGACATCTGTGTGAAGGTAACATTAGATAAGAGTCCGATTAAATCAAACTCGATTTTAAACTGCAACGGAGTTAAAGGACGCACCTATAACGACAGTTGATAGTGGGTCGGCAGCCTTTTTAATATAACCATAGACACTGGGAAGGAAACTCAGAACTTACTCTTCACAGACTATGAGAACATACTCTTCACAGACTATGAGAACTTAATCTTCACAGACTATGAGAACTTAATCTTCACAGACTATGAGAACTTACTCTTCACAGACTATGAGAACTTACTCTTCACAGACTATGAGAACTTACTCTTCACAGACTATGAGAACTTACTCTTCACAGACTATGAGAACTTACTCTTCACAGACTATGAGAACATACTCTTCACAGACTATGAGAACTTACTCTTCACAGACTACAGACTATGAAAACTTACTCTTCACAGACTATGAGAACTTACTCTTCACAGACTATGAGAACTTTCTCTCACAGACTCTTCACAGACTATGAAAACTTACTCTTCACAGACTATGAGAACTTACTCTTCACAGACTATGAAAACTTACTCTTCACACACTATGAGAACTTACTCTTCACACACTATGAGAACTTACTCTTCACAGACTATGAAAACTTACTCTTCACAGACTATGAGAACTTACTCTTCACAGACTATGAGAACTTACTCTTCACAGACTATGAAAACTTACTCTTCACAGACTATGAGAACTTACTCTTCACAGACTATGAGAACTTACTCTTCACAGACTATGAAAACTTACTCATCACACACTATGAGAACTTACTCTTCATAGACTATGAAAACTTACTCTTCACAGACTATGGGAACTTACTCTTCACAGACTATGAGAACTTACTCTTCACACACTATGAGAACTTACTCTTCACAGACTATGAGAACTTACTCTTCACAGACTATGAAAACTTACTCTTCACAGACTATGAAAACGTACTCTTCATAGACTATGGCTACCCAACCGGTGATATGCAGGCTAATCAGAATGTTCTAGGACACGAAACATACATTGTACAATACAAGCTGACCCATCGAAGTCAGCTGACCCGGATGACCCGACTGACCCAGCACGGACAAAATAGAACGAATCAGCATGATAAAACCCTTTCACAATACGTTCACACTTCACCGGGAGAACCCCATGGCACTATTAAACAGAATGGCATGATTTAACAGAGGAGACAGCGGTCGAAGTAACAGAATTCACATTGGGAATTACTGACCCAATAACACAATTCCACAGTAAACACTTCTCGGATTATAACACAATTCACCAGAAGCCTCTGACACAATAACACAATTCACCAGGTGAAATCACTAGCACTATAATTTACCACTACAAAACTCACATAATTCGACAGGTCAAAAACTGATGTATTCGCACAATTCAGCAGTTGGACCTCCTGACACAATAACACAATTCACCAGTAGGACCTACTGACACAATAACACAACTCACCAGTAGGACCTACTGACACAGTGACACAATTCACCAGGAGGAAGTACTGACACAATAACACAATTCACCAGGAGGAAGTACTGACACAATAACACAATTCACCAGGAGGAAGTACTGACACAATAACACAACACCAGGAGGAAATAACACAATAACTCACCAGGAGGATGTACTGACACAATAACACAATTCACCAGCAGGAGGTACTGACACAATAACGAATTCACCAGGAGGAGGTACCAGGAGGAGGGTACTGACACAATAACGAATTCACCAGGAGGAAGTACTGACACAATAACACAATTCACCAGGAGGAAGTACTGACACAATAACACAATTCACCAGGAGGAAGTACTGACACAATAACACAATTCACCAGGAGGAGGTACTGACACAATAACACAATTCACCAGGAGGAAGTACTGACACAATAACACAATTCACCAGGAGGAAGTACTGACACAATAACGAATTCAATTCACCAGGAGGAAGTACTGACACAATAATACAACTCACCAGGAGGATGTACTGACACAATAACACAATTCACTAGCAGGAGGTACTGACACAATAACGAACTCACCAGGAGGAGGTACTGACACAATAACGAATTCACCAGGCTAGGACGCAGTAACAAAATCCACAGCATATATAGATATCAAGAATTCTGGCTGATGGCAATATAAGGAAATGATCATAACGCAGAGAATATCACTTCTCTCTACAGTAATAGTTAACACCGAATGTAAGGAAATCATCTTACCACAAGCGGGGCAAAAGACGTTAGTATGATCATGGAATTTTGTTTTAATTCCAGTTTTACCAGCATTAATTAACAGTATGATTAGGTTCAATGAAGTCGCAAAGTAACTTTTAAGAACTTTCTGCGCAAAATACCGTTATCTGTCTGTAAAACATGGGGACATGTATATCTATTTTACCGTGAAAGGCTGCGAGTATTGAGTGAGTTTGGTATTACGCCGCTTTTAGCAATATTCGAACAATATCACGGCAATATTCCAGAAATGAGCTTCACATATTCTTCCCATGTTGGGAATCGAACCCGGGCCTTCGGCGTGATGAGCGAACGCTTTAACCATCAGGATAGCCCACCGCCCCCTGCGAGTATTGAGTTTGAGAAAAATAATATTCCACTGCAGTGACAGGAATTTGATAATTATGTTCACTGTAGTGAACATTTAGTCAGCATGCCTTATTCATCGGATGACCAACCTGAGACGAAAACACGCGCTTTAGTCCAGGACAATAATTATCAGTATGTATATTAATATATTAATGTTTTCGTCTTATATTAATAAGTTCCACGTTTTTATCTGGATTTTAAGTAGTTATCGTGTCTCATAGGCCTTAGGGCCGGGTGGTGTACTTTTTAATTGTGAATTGTATACCACGGGACACGTTAATAAACTATATATGTACTTCTTCTTCTTCTTGATCGCCGAGTCATTCAGTGCACCCGCGCTGAGCCGCGCTGAGCCACGCTGTCCACGCCTCGCTTGCGTGCGAGTTTACATATGTTCAAAACACTCGAGTTTCGTATTGACAGCGTTCAAAACGGACATTTTATGCACAAGTGACCTTATTTCACTCGATTGGCAGCAGTCATTACCTGTATTTATGCTTATTGACCAAAAGGATCGTTTCTTATTCAAACAATGACAATAAATAAAATAAAGCAAATGATATGTGTTGTCTCGATTTATATTTTACTTTCGAATACCGAACAAGGTCTCATTTGTGCGACAAAGTACTGAACAGCCTTTAGTTTACAGTTGGGAAAATTAGAATTGGGATTTCGTTAATAGAATTTTCTGGTATTAATAACGTTTCAATATCAACATAATTGGAAGCATATGGTGAATAATAATTCCATCCGTGTAGTGAAATATGATGAATCTGTAATCTCGTGACGTTAAGAACGTCATTCTTTCACTCGTATTTTACGACACCATTTACGATCTATGACAGAAATATATATTCTG